TGGGGGGGGGGGGGGGGGGGGGGGGGTGGGGGGGGGGGGGGGGGGGGGGGGGGGTGGTCCCTTCTCCCTCCGCCCCCCCCCCTTCCAGCTCCCCAACCTGAACCTCCCAACCTCAAAATTTTCTCAAAACACAACATCAGGTTATGCATCTGTCCCTTCCAAGAAATAAATAACTGAGAAAAGATGGGTTCCATTTTGATTCTGTTTGCCATTTTGGAATTTTCTTTTCTTTTTGCTTTTCTTTTCCTTTCCCAAGCATTCAAATAGAACCAGTGTCCAGGCCTTTTTCATATAATGTTTTGTTAGCATAAGGGATTTCATTTTCACAGAAAGCAGACATATTGTTTCACTCTTTGCTTTACATGCATGATCTCTCTATATTTTTCAGGTAGAGCGCTACCACTACCTGGTAGACTTGTTGCTGAGTTCCCACTACCCTGTTCTGTTGGTTGGCGTTCCAGGTGTGGGGAAAACTGCTCTCATACAGGTCAGTGATGGTACCTGGTTTGCCACAGTGTGGAACTACTGATGTGATAGGAACCATGGAAATTTGATCTTTTCATATATTAAATGCCTGTGAATTTTTTATGCCATTTGAACAGGTTGATATTGCTATTTTATGAGGAGTGAACATTTTAGCAAGATTTCTTTTAGAATATCAGTATGAAAAAACACCAGGTCCCAACATCACATCATTTGTCATGATCACAATTGAAAAAAAAAATCTCTTACAGAATATCATCCAGCAAAAGCACCCATTCTCTCGGCTGCCAATTTCTCAAGGGGTCTTCCCGCAGCAGCTCCACAACTCCGTAGCCAACTACATGCTGGAGATCAATAAACGCGATGTCCTGAGCACGCACCCGAGTACTGCGCCTCTGCCCAAACCACACCATCTATTCTTCATTGATGACTTGAATATGGCCAAAAGTGACTGCGTCACAGGTAAGCGGAAAGCTTAATGGCTAGTTAGTTTTGAAAAGTAATAATAATTCAAATTGCATCAGTTTGACTAAATGGATTTGGTCTGATGATTTTTGTAAACAGTGAACATTGACAGCATGTTGTAATTATTTGGAATAGTTTAAAAGTCCTCATTGAAGTGTAGTCTTTGGAATTATTTTCATTTGTCTATGTGTCTGTCAGGTTGTGTGATGTTCAGTTGATTGACTGATTGGCTGATTGATCTATTCACCATTTCATAGATAAATCTACCAGTTCTGTGGAATCAAGGGTGAATAGATAGATTGGTTTATTGATAGATCATCAGTTCTCAGTTATATACCACTAACTTGCAGGCACACAGCCATCACTGGAGGTACTCAGAGAGGTCATGACACAGCGCAGTCTGTATGACCGTCACCGCCATGTCAAACTGGACCTGGAGGGTACGGACTTTGTGGCAGCATGCAGGAGTCCGGGAGTAGCGGGTAAGGTGTCCATTGAAGCTTACACGAAAATAGTAAAGCCAATTGTGGCCATTACTTACAAGATTTCTTTCTCAGTTTTAAATGTATGGAAGTAGTCTGACATTTTGTGGTCCAAGAAAGCTACTGACACGTTTTTGTTGTCAAATATCATATATATTATATTATAATCATAAAGCTGATACTGACACTTGTGTGACACTCTAGTTATATTCTATCACAAAAATGACACCATAATCACATTACAGTCCTAAACTTGACACTTTGACACTTGTTTCTTTCAGGTTCAGGTGCCGGAGAATCGTGTCACATTCTGTCCTCAAGGCTGACACGTCTGTTCACTGTGATGACATTTTTCATGCCGACTGCGGAGGGGATGCATGCTTTGTTTGGCAAGACCATCCAGTCCTGGCTAGAGGAATTTCCCACATACTCTGTAGAACACCACCATGAGTTTGCCTATGTAAGTGTCCATCTGTGGAAGTTTATGTCGAAGTTAATGTAAGCAGTTGGCATATTGGCTGTAAAGTAGCTGTATACAAGCCTGTAGGCAGGGAGGTTTGGGGGTCTTACAAAGAGCCCACTTTGAAACAAACATAATCGATATTCTATAATATTTCTTAACTCAAAGGGTATAAATGTCCATTTTTTCAGAAAAAGAAAACCCTCTTTGAAATTACTGCCTACAAGCCTGGTTTATTTGGCTACAGGATGCCTAATGAAAATGATGGTTAGATAAATGAAAGTTTTGTTTTTTTCAAAAGTATATAAT